CATTTAAAATAGCCACACAGTCAACCTAGTTGTATACCGGTACGTACCTTCTCTAATCGCAACAAAACAGGTAATTTCAGGATAATTGAGCAAGACTTAATTTAACACAGGGGAATACTCCAAAAAAGATGACCAGAACGTGAGAAAAAACAGGTGTATACTACTTCGAGTATACATATGTATAAATGTACATGTATACATATTTGTGTTGTCAAAAAACAGTGTAAGAATACATCAAGTGCGCAATGGTAATGGCCGATGGGTGGCTAGTTTGACCGCTAAAAAAGATCCTAGTGCGTGCTGGAATAGCAAGTAATGCAAAGTTAAAAATTAATCTAGCATGAAATACTTTGCCAGACAGCCATAAGATACACAGGTTTGCTGTAGTGGTCCACATTTTTGCAAACACTGCCTCTATGAACTGTTTTTTTAAGCTGAGCAGTAGGCCAATTGCGTCTAATAGCCTGGTTGGTGAGGCATTTAGCGCCGTACATCATTCTGAGTGAGCAATAATGCCGAATTTGGAGCATTGAATTTTCTCAACTTGTTGTTTGTTATCCACGCGTCACCTTTCTGAATCAAATACAACCGCGTCGATTGTGAAAATGTCAAATCTGCCTCTTTGTTGCCACCGTGCCTCTAATCCCTTTGAATCCCCACTCTACTACTTTCTTCCTTTAGTCCCTGACTCGTTCGATCGAGACATTGATACGTCAAAAACACCTTCGTTAGCATCTGACAATTTGCTTATTAATTTCAACAGCAGTTCCTGCTGCTACAAATATGCGTACCAGAAAGTCAATGTTGACATGGATTAAATAACAGTATCTCCGTCGCAAGATGCTGGGGTATCCTATCCGTACATACCAACTTCAATGCTTTTGTGTACTGTATACTGTTTTTGATAGGGGCGCGCTGTACGTAATCGCACAACGCTCCTAAATCTATTAGGGACTTCTGATGGCTTCACAAAGCCTGATACAATGATGTTAACATCTGACAGACGTGGGATTTGATTCTTACCGTTCTTTGGGTAAGTTGCCTCTTTTACGGCTAGTCCTATTGACCGTAACCTCCACATGGTACAGTAGAACCAAAATTCACATAGTAAGCCGCACTACTCCTTCTAGGATTCGATGTATCTTCATGCGGGGCACCTTGTAAGCCTTTGTGTGATATGATGATTCTTCTTTTCCGAGCCGAGAGCAAAGGTTGCGCACATGGTGCATATGATTGCAATACCGCAAATGATACATATGCGAGCACCGAGGGGATGCAAAATATCCAAGAGATCGCTCTCCTCCGCACTGTCATTACTACTGAGGCTCGCAGTGTCTGGCGCGCTCATTAAACTATCATTCTCAGCACCCCGTCTGTTCTTCGCGGCACTCCGCGTTGAATGCGATGACCACCACTACCTTTATAAAAAACAAGGCCACGAAAGAACTCGAAGAAGCCACACTCGTTTGGAGTCCCTCGAGCCGGTATCTATTCAAATGAACGTCTGATATTCAGGCAATAATAGTCGTATATTCTGCTAGACCTTGTCCCCTTGACGGAGAGATAAGAATTCCAAACACATTCGATATGCTGTGTAAGTCGGTGCGGGCTCTAGCGACATAAATCGATTCCGATCGTTCCATGTCGGTGGTGTCTCATTCAAAGAGGTAGTAGAGACTATTCTCTTGTGCGTTCACCTTACATCGAGACCGCACAAGCAACATGCGCGATGTCGCTCCTTTCGAAGCAGAACGAAGTTTTGGCCGTATCAACTTTCTCGAATCACAAGTTCGAATTCATCAGCCAACAAGGACCTGGACGGTCAACATCAGCAGCCTGACGGTATGTGTCATAAATTTCCTCACCGATGCTTGTTTTGGTCGGTTCTTGTTATATCTCCCCCGTGTACTCTCATTGCTGACAAACGCCTAACACCTTTGCCGCCAATTCAATAATCTCTCGGAATGAAATATGGACATAAGCTTTTCAAGTGTGTTGAGCTGTCTCTGTGACGAATACCTTTCCCAATCACACAGAGATTCCTTGGTAAATGGGTTGTCCACAAGTGCTACTCTATGTAAATAACTAAAATTTCTTAAGGTAACTAATACTTAAAGTCTGCTGTTGCGATTTTTTTCGATCAGCAGTCGTTTAACTAATCAAAAGCTGCACCTTTTTTCGGGCGAAATAGTGCTTACCATTTGCCTGAGAAGCCTGTGCATTTATTTGTGAGAACAAATGAAATCCTGATAATTGCGATTCAAAAGGGATTACTTTTCAATCGCAATTATCAGGATTTCATTTTGTTCCTACTGTTTCCTAATCAAGGCTGGCTATAGAAAAGACGGCCGGCTCGATAAACGCACAGATATACTCTCATGAAGTCACACTTGATCTGTCTATAAAATCCGAAAATGATCAAAACGTATCATGTTTCCATATCTCCTCTTAACGTGGTCGTATCTATGCCAAATTTCTCTGCCGGAATTATGTACAATCAGGTCTGAAAACAATGATAGGACAAGAAGGCGCCAGTACTGGCTAGGCAAGTCAAAGTACCGAATCAAGACCAAGTATTGTCAAGGATCAGCAAGCAGTACTGTTGAGATGACACCGCTTAAAGCTGCTGAAGAACAATCTTGCTGAGATTTTCACGTTGATGTTGAGATCATTGACAGCGTAAAGTATTGTCTAGTTCTGGACCTAGATTCAAAATTAGACCTTTATCAATGGCGTGGTTTGGACATCACGAGGAGCCACCTGTCAAGAGAAAGTCAAAATCGATAGGAGCTACGCTTTTTTTGTGGAGCTCTAGCGATTATGTATCCACCTATACCAGTAGCGGAAGTGCATTCGACACAAGCACAATGCTGCGATAAGTTCCGTACAAAACGTTGGCTTGTCTTAAATTATTACCAGTAGTTTTGCTAGTTGTCTTGAACACGATTCGCAAAGCGGAATAGGTGGTGATACAGCTTCAAAATGAATGAAACGCGATTGCATATCGGAGTTTCGGAGAGTTTCCCTAGCGGAACAATTAATGATAGCATTGTTGACTACTGGTTGGAAGTGGAAGCAATTGACTGTATGAGTATTCCCATGCCAGAGCTGTTGGAGTGTAAGGGCGAGTGTTAGGTGTATACAGAAGGGCGGGGCTGTAAATGCTTGACAAATAATTTATCCGTTGCACGATCTGGTGGCATCGGTATGTCAGAACTACTGGGTTAAATCCCCGGAATTGTTCAAAATTAACAGAACTTGTAGCTCTAGGTCCCCTGGCAGAGCTCGAATAACAGAATCGGCACTAAGTCAGGCTCTTGGAATAAAACAAAACAGAGCGAATATACGCTGCGATCTCTAGAATGTATTTTTTCTGAGACGAGAAATGGCTTCTCTTAGGTTTGCGTTAAATAACGCAGCAACAAATCTCTACAGGTTTTGCCAAAGTTACATACGTTATTTGCCAAAATGCTGGTGCATTTGACTTCGAATGCCACGAAGTGCGGTCCTGTAGAACAATGCAGCACGCAGTGTGTATCTCCTGAGATTTGGTGTGACCGACAAATTAAACACATTTCTTACGTGGGCTTCATCATTGATTGACTGGAGTTCACTTTCAACACGCATGGACAATAAAAGACGCCCACGATACCTATCAGAGTCAAACCTTTCTCATTACAACGTGCACTTCAACCCCGTAGCACATCCGGTAAGAATCAGATACTGCTTAGTTTCAGTGCGTCGGAGATGACACTGAACCCTACCACTGCAGAGTGAGGAATGAATTCAATCTCTGTAGTAGCTACTGTAAGGGGGTTACACGTCCTCTGATATGTATGGGTGTGTAACACAAGATGGTTTGCCCGTACAAAGGTGTGGTTACACAAGTTGGTACAATCACACAGTGTTGTGGCTACACCGTAACAAGAAGCCACCAGGTGGCAGGATTACCAGTTGTAATATATATTACTATGTTTATTATGTTTTACTGTATAAATAAGAAAAATCTAGGGCCTTGGATATAGGCGGCTCTGCCTCAACTAAAGCGCATAAATACAGTTTCGATTACAAACAGAGGAAGAATATTTGCCTTCACTAAGGTTTTGGGTGCTCTTGGAAGTAGCGGGTTGCGATCCGCTACACTCGTACTGGTTCTGGCAAAAAACGTAAGGTCGGTGGCCTCAGCTTGGCTGTTTCTAAACAGAGCAACGGCAGCCCCTCTGCACTTGGTAGAATTCGTAGTCAATCTACGCCTGAGTCGTTACGACTGATCCTCTCTGAGGATGAAGCAATTCTTCTATTTGCCCCAGGGCATGCAGGACTGGCTTAATAAGCTAGTATCCCTGTTTGGCCCTGTGGGTGTGGAGCACCTTGCTTTGCATGGACCCAGAGCAATAAAAGATCGCCAAGAGGCGTTTTCAAATTATGAAAATGCTCTGCTAGAGAGCCTGCAGCAAAAAATGTCGGCGTCGACTGCTTTCATGATGCAACCGTGGACGGCGGGCGGCTTCTCCCAACCCAGGCCGCGCATGGTGAGCCTTCAGACCTCTGAGGCTAAAGAAATAGAGAATATCCTGCTATCGGTGTGAGAGGCCGAGATGGATATGAGATCCGCCATGCTCCAAATCGAGCAGCAGCGTGTGACGCAAGCTATCTCCAAGTTAGGGGTCGGGTGAAAAAATGGGCACTAACGCACGGTGCTTCGGTTGAAGCTGCGGGCCCCTCCTAAAAGGAGCAGAAGCGTCAGCTTTTGCGAGTATTTTCGCCTGATCAGGCATATCGCGTGCGATCGATTTCCTTGCTACCCGACAGGGCAAGGAGTTGGTGAACTATGTCCAATAGTTGAGAACTCTTATTGCCCAGATGGCAGCAAATCCTCTCATCGGGGCGGCCAGAGTGACCGTCGTTATGGAGGGCCTTCGCACTGACGTGACCAGAATGGTAGTATTCTGTGTGCATATGCATGTCTTGGAGAAACAAAATATGTGGCATAAAATACCGAATTCAACTATAAGTCGGTACGTCTTGGTTGATATGCACAACCTCAGAGCTCGTCGAGCGGGCCTGAGCCAATGGACCTCAGCTATATAAGAAAGAGGAGGGAGAGCTCCAAGCTGCTGAGCTGCCGAGCAGCCTTTTAACACCCGACAGCGTTTTGTCTGTGGAGACACCCGCCACCTTGGGCTAGTTGCCTCCTGTGCAAGGCGCGTAAAGGTTTATCGAACCGACGTCCCGCTTCAGACCGGTCTGGTTTATTGCGGGGAAACCACAAAGCCCAGTAGCCGCGGGCGCACTACTTGGGAAGAACTGAGTTCTGTTGAGCCTCAAAGTGGTAGAGGGCAGCGGGGCCTAGCCCCTAAGAGCTCCGTGCTTTTCAACACGGAACGTGTGTGGAAGCCGGGCTTGCTGGTCGTAAAAGTGATCGTGAAGGGCTATGATATGCCGTGAAAACAATTATCGATTCCAGGGTGTCAGGCAATAATCCTCGACACATTACGATCGAAGGAAGTCAGTTGTAAGCTGAGGTGCTGGAAGCGCGGTTGAGTGACACCGTAACTGTTCGCTAAGCAACCGAGATATGTGTCACTGAGCCGAGGGTCCCTGTGGACCTCGGTGTCAAGTTTCTTGACTTCTATAGCGTGGAACGCTGCTTAGTCCTAGATTTGGTTGCACTATACGACCTTATCCTTGGTATGGCATGGTCAGAAGACTATGAGCCATGGATCAACTGGAGG